TATATTCCTATGCCTACAGTACCACTCGACTATAAAGTATGTCTTTAAAATCTCTGATCTGCTAACAATCCATATCAACTAGATTCAAATATATACACCCTTAGACACTTTTAATTAATTTTTTTTATTTATCATTTTCCATAAATCTAGGTAGCAGACTTTTTTCACAACTAAAATAACTCAATTTCCTAAGCCTGATATTGAGACTCATTAGGTACGGTCAAAACAGCATACACCTACAACATTTAGTATAGTTATTTCAATCTTGACTCAATTTTCCATCCTATAATTTGTGAGGCCAGTTGCTGTTGCATGTGGAGGAAATAAAAATGAAATGTTACAACACACGGACATACTTACTAGTACTGATAAAACATAAAACCTCCTTGGACGTTGTAAATTCGCTTCCAAAACGACATGAGAAAAAAGGCAGAGAATACTGATGAAAGACATACAAATGGCTAACATACTTAGCCTGATCCAGGAAACGCACTCACATAATATTAAACTTGTTCGCCGATATTATTCCAACCGTCTGCATAAAGTATAACTCGTAGCAAACCATTGTTCACTGACCCAAGAGCATTCATTACAAATATTTCTTTGAATGCTTTTTCTGACAATAGTTCTTATTCAGTGTATCCTACACACAACAAACATGAGATTGCTGTTTTGTCCATGTACTGCAAGGCATACATAAGGGACCACTATTAATGTTGTACACCCCATGGCATTTGCCAGCATTCGCTTGGAATTTACAACACATAATTCCCCATTAAACCTTTTGGAAATACCAAGCAACTGAAAATATGTAAGCTAACAAACTATTTATTGTGTTAAATATCCAATAAATTTAATTTTGCTTTCATTTTATTGTACAATGTAATAGTTGTATTTGCAAAAAAAACCAGAAATCATCAGGTAGGCCAGAAAGGTGGAAGTTACCATATCACATAACCAGTATTTTGTTTCATATAATTTTGTATAAAATTCCATGTGGAATTGATGAAATGAATATTTTCCCTCTCTTCCTTATTTAGATGAGCAAGAGGAAATACTAGGTAAAAATATAGGTAATTACAGATTTCATTTAATCAACATGAGATAATCTTGTATTATGCAACATGAGACAATTTTTTATTATATTACTAGAAAATGCATTAATATATAAATACAATAACTTAAAAGTACAAATTTAACAGTTCATTGTGTAAGATTACAAATTATCTTAAACAAAATGCAAACAGAAAATAAAGATAGTGGAAATAGATTAGGCATAAGTTAAAAAATGAATTGTAATTATTATAAAGTAATTATTATTATTATTAAAATTCCTCAACAAAATAATCATAGTAATACTAATAGACCTAATTGTATATTTTAAATGTGAGTTTTAAATTTTGTGTTATTACTGATAGGTTTGTAAAGTTTTATTCGTTTACAATTTAACTTTTTAAAGTGAACTGATATGTTCTCCTTAATATTTTTTTTAACTCCAGACTCCAAAAAAAGACTAGTGACATAATCTAACAATTTCAATTTCCTGTTAAAATCAAATCAACTATTTTTTTTAATATTTCGACTTGCCAACAACTTTTTCATTTCAAATTTAAAATAGATTTTAATCTATAAATATCTAGGATGTCCAAGGGCAAATTTTATCTATATTTTCCTCTTTAAGACAAAGAGCATATGCCAGAAAAGTTTTAAGCAAGCATTGACAACAAAAATAAAACACTCTATACCATCAACAGTGACAGATCTTTAGTAATTTGAAATACTGTAGACGGGGCCCAGAGGAACTTTCGCCGATTGAAGGTTTAGACCACTTAAATTTGAACATAACTTTCTTTTATTCCTCCATTTTAAAAAATAATTTTGAAAAATTTGGGGGGAGGGGAAGAGAGGAAGGGTAGGCTCACTGGTTCCCCCTGCTTGAATCCACCACCGATCAAAATTACCAGTAAATCCTAAGAACAGGCTACATTCACCAAATACACACAATTATAGGACTAACAATGATTAGAAAAGTTGGATTGGATGTATAGTGTTTTCCTTAAATCAAAAAGATTACAATTTGCTCACACACTGCCTTATCTATGCAGTAGAAGCAAAATTTACAAATGAGACACTGCCGCTTTTGTACAACTACTGTATAATGTTTAAATTTTTGGGAACTTCAGTAGCACTTTCTGTGATGCTGCATTTAAACTAGAAACTTTATTGAAAGTAAAGCAGTTAATATAAATATGATATTTTACAATATAGTACTAGAATGAAGACATAGTAAGTTGTCCATTATAGTGTCTACCAAAGAGTACAGATACTATAAATAGAGTGGATTAAAATTGTCTTGCTTTTTCTAAGAATCTATGTTATTATAATAATAATAATGGTGATAATGATAATAACTGTAATATTGATGAAAATAATAAGTAGTTATTATTGTTATTATTATTATTATTATTATTAAAAAATAAATAATAATAATAATAATATGATTTTTCCTCTTGAATAGTTTCTTATTTTTAAAAAGTGTAACACTTTTTTGTTCTCTTCTAACATTTTTCATTATCTTTAAATATTGTAGGCCTTTTATAATTTTAAATTTTTCTGTGCTTTGTGATGAAATTTTGATGTTGATTCTTTATTTTCCTTGACCAATTTTTAATATGATTTTCTTGGAATTGTTCTTTTTTGCAAGCTTTGTAATTTATTCATTTATTTTAACTGGAGACAATAAATTTCAAGGCAGTGGAGGGCATAATAAAAATAAAGAAAAACTTTTATTTTTTTTCCTAAAATTTCCATTTTTTGTGGCGGTGGGTGCGCTAATTGGCCAAAAATAAAATTTCAAAATCATTCAATATTTGCGTGCGGTAGGTTCGCCAAACAAGGTATAAAAAAATTCTTGCCTTACTCTGTGATGATCATATAATTATAAGAAAAATGCTATAAAGATTAATATTAATTATAAGACTATTATCTGTACATAATGGATTATTGGTTAGAATTACACATTCATTAATAAGATACATATATAACTTTTTCTGGCTGGGTCTATTTTAAGTGTCTTATTGCAGTCTAGATTAGACATTCTGATCCCCCAAACCAAATCATAGCTATTTTGATGATCATTCTGTTTTTGAAAATGTGTGTTCTTTTATATTTATTAACTTCTTATATTGTATATTTTCAAATTTTGGAAATTTTTTTTTCTTGTTCAGGGAAAACCAGGGATATGAATACTAGAACTAATAATAACAAACATTTAAAAGCTCAGTAAATACAAAAAGATAAAGATCAGAATTTAGTATAGTATCCTTTATGTAGCATACAATGAAAATTTGTGCTTCTACACAATAAAGTCTACTTAAAATACAATGACAGTAACATAAAAGGACTGGCTCTATTTATTTTTAATAGAATGTTAAAAGAAGAATGACTTCTGGTTTCATTTTAATCTCATACATGAAATACTTAGTAGCACTGGCTACCGTACCTTTTTTAGGACAAGTTCATTTCCTTATATTAGATAGGAATGCACTTCAAAATTAACTAATTTAAAAATGGAATTGATAGTGTGTTTATAATTTCTGTGGGTTTAAAACAAAACATTTCTGTGATTACAGAGTTTGTATCATATCTTTTTTTAAGTTGACGGCTTAACCATATTAAATATATGGTTTAAATAAATAAGTAATTGAAGCATATAATAATAGGGTACAGAGTCTTTAGTATAACAATGGTATTTACATAATAAGTAATGTGTTATAAATAGGATTGTTATATTAAAGACTAACATTTATCGTAAAGTAAACACAATTATAAATTCTATCTACATGGTGTGTAATTGTTGTCAAATGTTATTATTAAAATAGCTTTATATTTGTTGATAGACTTTTTATGAAGTGACATACAGAAAACATTGATATAATAAAGTGGCATTTTTTTTTTTCATTTTATTGTGAAGATGGTGCAAGAACAGGAAGCATTCACTTAACAGGTATTTGGGAATGAGAAGGGACATCCCCTTATTTGTTTTTGGGTGTTACCTGGCATTAGATCACAGGTGGGCAAAGTGCGGTCCGCGATCCGCATGCGGCCCGTCAGCAATTTTTTTTTCGGCCCGAGACAATGAATTATAAGCCCTATGTTTGTGGACCGCCAATCAAAATTGGCTAGAAAACCCCTCGTTTTTTAAGGTCCTACACCAATCATATGTAAAAAGAACATTAAACTGAGAATAAAATGATGTAAAAGCAGTGCTCGGAAGTTTTTGGAAGGTCACTGGAAACATCAAAGTTTGGGTGCGGCCCTCGGTATTAAATCAAAAATTCACTTTGGCCCTCCAACCGATTTTGATGACCACCCCTGCATTAGATGGATTGCCCTTTCCTAAATGTGAGTATGACAATGGAGAAAAAAAACAATTGAGGATGAGAATGGTGAACCCTTCACTTAAACAGGTGAGGAATGATGAAGGAAGAGCAATGACACCACAGGTGTTGAATGATGGAGTGGTAAAATCTCATAGTGTGTATGAAGAGGATGAGATACTGTAGATGAGAAAAATTGTTGACAAAGCTAGGTCATGTTGAAAACTTAGGTAAAAACCAATGGGGAATTATGACTCAAGTTAATGTAAACAGCATTCCAATAATCAACAATTCAGTTAATTAATTCATTACTAATGAGTGCCTGACTTTGATTACACCACTACTTATAATAATGACCAGTTTGATTATTGTATACAGTACAAGCTACAAACCACATTTCACAAGCCATATGCTAACATTATTTAACTATTAGTATTATAAAAGTTAAGACTTGCAACAGGATTTTTAACATTAACATTATATGTAGCAACCTATATTTCATAGAGGAAATCTTAGAATCTACAGGTATGATTTATTTTTTTAAGAATGTTATTAGAATGTGACTATACAAAATACAGCTATAAGCCATTCACAAGACAGAAAATAAGAGGCAACACTCACATATTATATCTTGTCCCAATTTTCGGAAGATCTTGTTAGGAATGGTCAGCCCCACGTACTTGCTGTGGACATTGCAAACACTTCCATTCTCTGAGCACACTCATATGAAGCATTCCTATAAAAAGTAGAAGATGATGATTCTTTCCCTCGCAACCAATTTTCCACAAGGCGAGAAACAGGAAAAAGGTGACAGTCGATTGCACGCAAATCTGACAATCGCGATAAGTCACAGACTCTGTCCCGCAACATGTCCAAGTCATTCCCGTTACAAATTACATGTTAGATTCAATTAAGAAACAGATAATGATCTTGGTAACAAAGGAAATCAAAGTACACTACATCTACCTATCTTCATCATCTTCCCTCGCCAATCACGTTCACAGATCTCGATATCTACTCGGAAAAAAACATCGATTCTATCAACAATTTTACCTCAAAAGAAGCTGGGCGGCTTTGTCTTGTCAGTAAGGGTGACAGTGATGTTGCAGCAAACAGGTAAAATTTGTGGGAGACAATTGAATATTTCCTTTTTTACATAATTCAACAATTATACTAAATTGAACGATATTATGTTTGCTAGTTTAGGTCTAGCCCTGTTAATTCCCTCAAATGAATTAGGAAGGCTTAAAAGAAATCAACTTAATTCCGTGTTTTACCTTCATACTTGAATGTGGAACAATTTGTGGTTGATTATAACATTATAACAAACATGACGTGGGAAACTATTTACAAAATTTAGCATTCTTCTCAGTTTATAACAGTTCAACTAGTACCGATAATAGGAACATTTTATTATTCATTTGATAATTTCTTGATTTTGTTGTTTCAAGATTTATTAATATTTTAGGAAACATAATATAACATATAAATTAAATACGAAAACAAACATTACGTGGGAAACTAATTCAGCATTCTTCACGTTCACACCAACTGGTACTGACATTAGGAATATTTCATTATTCTTTTGATAATTTCTTGATTTTGTTGTTTCAATATTGATATAATTTAATATATTTTAAAATATTTTAGGAAACATAATTTAACATAGAAATTAAATAAGAAAACAAAATTCCGTAGAATCCACTGTATACTGCTAACTGGATATTGTCATCGTAGGCAACTTTATGCGAATTACTAGGTAATATCAGTAAATTTGAACTCCCACTATCCATATCATTTTAACACATTATGCTACAAACTATATCCTCAGATAATGAAATGCTGTGGCACAGGATGGGTATTTTATGCAACAGATATTCCTATGTTACAAAGACAGGTGGTCAACTTTTGCTACATATGGTCGATAGCACAGTTGCCCATGCTTTTACCATATTCATGCAACAGTAGCATGGTCTAATACTAAAACTGGTACTTTCCATAAGTAATGAGATATGAAGTTCAAACTAGGTATATGGTATATGCAAGTGTTATGGTGTGAAATGTCCATGCTATGAACAGCCAGGTCTATGCTACAGTCCTTGTTTACTGCATGCCACAAATGAAAAAATGTCATGCTATAGCCATAGGCCCCGTATTCAGCTGCTACTAAAGGAAGTCTTCATTTCAATGATGTGTTTAACTAATTAATCACAGAAATCTATTCACACATGCTAGGTATTTCAGAGCAAATATGTCAAAATTCCATAAAAAATCTAAAATATATTTCCACCAAACTTTTATTATCATCCTACTGTCTAGGTAAAAAAAACAACTATATAAATTAGTTTCTGGTTTTCAAATGATTATTATTACAATGAAGCTATCTATTCTTTTTCAGAAAATAACAACTGGAAAGGAATAGATAACTTTAAACTCATACTCATTTAACTAAAATTATTATTTTCTTTATCAGATCTGGTAAATTATATAATAAAATAAAGAAAAAAAATGTGAAAAGTACCACAGGTGTACTGCTATTCCATATCTGACAAAAATAAATTTGAATCTGAATCTGTGTTTCCCTTTGTAGGATACAGAAACACACACACCATAGGTTGATACCTACCATCTAATAAAGTAAATCATAATAAAATTATATCCTCAATATTAATGATCGCTAATAGGATGTATCAAATAGTTTGAAGCAGTAACATAGGACCAATTATTCCCCCTTCCTTCCACACAACACATGTTTTATTATTTTATTCACTAAAATCCGCCTATTGCATAACAGTAAAACATTAATAGAAAAACATTAATATTCACTAATTCCTAAAGATTTACATTCTGTAGTCCTCATTTAATGGACACACCAACACCGATAAATTCTAGATACAATTCAAAATGTTCAAAGACAACATGAGAAGGCAAGTGGGCGTTATTTGGGAACCACATATTTGACATTAAAGAACTGTGCATTCCTCTTAGGGATAACATGTGGTTTAGAGCTGTACTTTGCCACCTCCCTTTGCCTCATGTGTAGGAATGTTACTTGCTTCACTTGCCAAGAAACAAATTGAAGAGGAAAATGCTACACAACGATGATTAAATTACTGCAAATTAATGTGATGAAGGAATGCAGATCCTTTGTGTCATTCCCAGGAATGTGACATAGCATATTTAATCCTGCACTGAAAAATCAATGCAGTGTTTAATCAACAAACTCCACAATAAACTAAAATTGTTATATAGTAAACAAAATTCTAATTCTACATAAATGATATACTATAGGCCTACAGTTGGTCAAAAATATACATACTATTATTGAAATTCTTTTAATAAAGTGAATTGAGTGATTAACAAAAAAAAAAAAACCTTTCACACTCAAATAGTCCACATGGATATTCTAGCTGACTCACACCAAATCTAACAAAGCGAAACAAAATCAATTAGTTTGGGCATATGGAAATTTGTCAAAATACATTTTCTCAGCACCAATCCGTCAACAAGGATTCCACTTGAATACAGTGGTTGGTGTGGCTTTAAGCCTAACAGTACGTGTATTTATCCACTAGCAAACCTCATATTAATCAAGCCTATCTCCTTGAAGCAAAGCAACCTGGTTTTTTTTTCTTGCATCTTGAGCTCTAAACAAACTCATCATCATTTTCGAACCTCAAGCTCCCATGTGTTCGGTTTCATTAATGTTGCTTGTCTCTCACGACTTGGCGTTAAAGCAAAACTTTTTAATACTTTGTTTTGCACAATCCCCTACAAAAACTGATAATGGTTCCAAATAAAATAAAATTTTATTTTGTCCTGTTACAGTAGTAAACACAACTGTGAAAAATAGAAATTTATAAAGAAAAATGCCAAATGTTTATATATTTTTATTAATGCCTTTAAATTTCCCAATAAGAAGTCTTTTCCTTTATAAATAATACAAAGCATTCACTTATTCACAATTACCCAACAGTTTAAATTTCTACACTGCATTCATGAAAACATGATAGGACCTTGAGTGATGACCTAAGGGCCCCCTCAACAGATCACGTGATTGTAAACTTTACTAAACATGCAATCCTCAAGCACACTACACTATTTATTTAAAACATTTCAATGGGATACTACTGTAGTAATTTACAGTCGTTACTAAGAAAAATGGCCCTCCAAGACATATAGTATACTGTAATGTAACAAAATGTTATGTGAACTTTGAAAATTACACACCTATTGAATATTCACCTATTAAAAAATATAAAAAACTGATAATACATATCAAAACATTTTAAAGCATAGACAACATTATCTAAAACATTAAACAAAAAACATTCCTATCTATTTATTCTTCTTGTATGCTGCTGCCTTGATTTTGCAGTTTAATGTTTGTGTGTGGCTGGGGCCGGCTGCCTGACGACTACCCTCAAATTATTATGTGGGAATCCGTTCAACGATAAACCACTGAAATTTTTTCTATTTCGGCCCAGTAATACTTCATAAACTGAGTTTCAACTTATAATGAGCCTAATAGGAAATCGTTTTTTGTCAAGAAAATCTGGTTTTAAAGAAACATTTGAAACCAGGAAATTAAGTTTAAAGGAGAACATTCATTCATTCTCTTTTATTCAGACATTGTCCATATAAAATACAAAAATAAATAAAAGGAAAAGTACATGTTGTATTAACCAAGGCTTTAAAATGTGGAAAGCGGAGATTAACTGCTGTCTGTGTACAGCAAGAATAGAAAGCCACCCATCATGTAGCCTCGAATCGCAGAGTACCACGCTAATGTATCAAACTGGATTGACAAAAGGGTAAAATTACAACAACCTTGATCATCCACTAATAATACCACAATCATGTTTATATACTGTATAACAAATATTATCATCAAACCATCATTAACATCTTCAATAATTCAAGATCATACGACTCATAATCCAACATTCATTCCTGATGATAACATAATTAATGTTGAAATATTGAATCCCGACATGATGGCGTGCATTTCAATACTTGGAGTGTGTATTTTACTATCTTATAATCCAACAGGTTAATAAAATTGATCATTCAGTATAAACATCATCATACCAATTTAAAAAAAAACAATAAAAACATTTATCAATACACTATCTCTATAATAGATTTATTTAAATCATCTGTAATAAAAAAATTTAAAAAAAACCTTGTTATTATCATATATTAGTCAGTGTTATCATCCTTTCTCTCATCACAATATTTGTTATTAGCTATACTGTCACCAATTGTCAATTGGGCTTTGAGAGTCAAATTGGTCACTTTTTCCAGACCATATTTAACATGGAGGATCCACTGATAGCAAATTTATGCTAAATCAACAGATCTTCCACTTGTAAAAATTAAGATGAATACAAAATTAGACTGAATTTAATTGATGATGTGGATATTAAACCAAGCTATCATTTGGTTTCAAACTACAGTAAATAATTATAGTAATAAAATTACAAATTTCATGGTACTTGGGGGTTAATTAGCTTATCTAGTGGAGAATACCCTACTAGTCTCATTTAACTTAATAATAATGAAAATATCAACATCCTCATCATTTGTTTGTTGCAGACTACATAATTCGAAGGAGGATGAAGGCACAGAATAAATTTTGAACCAACCATAAATTATTATTATTATTATTATTAATAATAGTAACCACATAAACAACTGAAAATTAATTGGTTATAAACATCAAAGTTAAAACATGGGTAGGGTAATCCTAATTAATGGAGGTATACTGTACAGTAGTAGGCGCTAGCTAGGCCTAGCCTAGGGCCAGTAAGAATAGAATTAGAAAAGACCAGTGCCTGGCTGTGCAATCTTTAATTAAATTAGGACTACTGAAATTTAGAGGGAATATAGCACAACCTGTAAACAGTGTCCCCACGAGTCAACGCTAATTATGTTTCTTTATTATAGATTACATATTCCTTTAGATTCCTAAGGTTTGACGAAGTAATAGTTCCTAGGCCTAGGCATAAAATAGATGGTAGGGTTGACCCGGCCTACAACACTGCCTTGGTCGTTGGTGGTAACCTTACGAAATCATAGAGCTGCCCGGTAGAAGGACGATCTAATCGCCGCGAAATAATACACCAAACGATCATGTTACTTATAGAAGCTAAACAAAAGGTGAAGCTAAATTCATTGTAAGTGTTATACGAGATATATAAAATACTAAATTAACACATATCAACAATTAGCAGCGATTATCACCTATCAACTTGGTACCTACCATCACTAAAAAACAGCCATTTTCCTCATAACAAAAAATGGAATTGCCAGATTCAGGGATAATTCAGATATAGCGGACTTCAGTATAAAACATTATTAAACAAATAATCAGCAACATCTGAACGTGTTTAAAATATAAAATGATTATTTATGCTATAAAACAAATAAAGTAATGTAATATTAAGTGTTTTTCTGTTTCAAACTGTTTTAATTTAACTGTTCGAAGTATTTACAATGATGAGACAATCTGTGGCATTACCTGGAAATTAAAATTTGTGGAATGGCTGCGCGCTGTGCGATTAATTCAACGATGTTGAAGAGGCACTGATGAAACGACCTTGTGTCATTGTTCGTATCTTTTGTTATTGTAATGTTAATGTTGTGCATGACGTGTTCCTTTATCGCTATATATGTTAATTTTGGGTTAATATTCGGTATTTACTGTACCTGAATTTTGATGAGCCTAGGCTAGGCTAGCCTGGCCCTCCTGAGCTGACAAGCTGTGGAGATACTCGGCACCTGAATCGGTGCCTCGTGCGGTTTTGGTTGGATATTGCCTAGGCTAGACCTAGGCCTACTGTAGACTTACTGTAGACAGGGCTTAGCCTAGTCTATTTCCCCACTGAAGTGTTGTCCTGTGTGGAGGTGTATGCTAGCCTAGAATCTAACCTTGAGTTGTCTTATATTTTTTATGTTAATTTAAGTTGCTCAAATTTGCGCAGAAAATCGCTAGGAAAATAGGTTCTGGTGAAATTCTCCACAGCAGGGGTGTACAAATGCAGGTGTGCACAACCATATTCGTAATTACTACATAATACATTGTTTATTTATTAAGGTTAGGTCAAAACCTAATTTTCGACAAAATCTGTGTGGAAATCGGCTCTTATTTCCTGAAATGTGTGGACAGATTTCTAGGCCAAATGTTTGCGCAGAGGATATATTCCCCACGCAGGCCTTACTTTACAGTCTGGAGTAAGGCAAGTCATTTGTTTGATTCGTGTTGAAAGATGAACACAGTAGCCCTCCCACTGGTAGGGAGACCTCTCTCTCAAGGCCTAACATAATTATATTATATATCAACTTGAAGTTATTGAGTAAGCAAGATGTAGGAAGTAAAAACACTTTAATATATTTTATTGTTTGCAATTTGTCAATAGTACGGAAATGGAAGCTGCACATACCTAAAATAAAGCTCATATGTATTGGATACTTATCTAAAATGATGAGTCAACTGGAAAAATATACATACATATATACAAGTTTCTTGTAACGTATGACATGATACATGCACAATTTTGTTCAAGTTGCATAATAAATGCTGTACAATAAAAGACATACAAACAGGGGTGTATCCAGGATTTTTTCTGGGTCGGTCGTGATCAGAAGTTTTTGGACCTTTTCAGTGGGAGACAGGAAAATCGATTACAACGCCCAAGGATGGCAGGCTCAGTTTCAGAATTGCTGGAATTGAGATAGATTACGTCACGCAGTTGGCAAGGTCATTGGACTCACTGCTGGTACCTCATCAATGCTTTTTCATTTGTCATTGTGAAAAGGCCCTAGAAAAAGATGTCTTTGGAAAAAATGTGGACCTTTGAAATTTTTTTTTTTTGGGGGGGGGGAAGAGACAGGGATCGTACGACCTTCCAAACCTCCCCTTGCATACACCCATGACAAAATATTTAAAAAATACAAATTGCACTAAAAATACAAGGGTGCGGTAAAAGTTGTATTTTTTTGTAAAAATATTACTATTTAAAAATAAGTCATATCTTAATCAAAATTTTGATATAATAATAATAATAACTATAGCTCATATTTAAGAATTTTGTAATCTTTACTATATGTATGGAGTTACACGTCATCTGTTTTGTGATTTTTGGGGGCTTTCTTTTTTCTTTTTTTTTTTTTTGGTTACAATTTTTCCTTGTAATCTTATATTAGTATGAATCAAAAGAAAGTTATTAAATATGGTCTAGTTTGAACAACCCAAAATATGGAAATTAAATTTTCTTGTTAATAAACAATGCCTAAATAGGACGGAATTGAAGCCAAGTTGGCGTTTAGTACTACACAATGACCTTGAATTGCTGTCGATGCAAGAGTGTGCTTCCAAGAAATTCCTCGTCACATGACCGTTAATGTGACCTCTTCATAAAAACAGAAGTTGTGATTCAGAAATTAAAGGACTTTTCAACAAATTAATTCAATTAATCAAAATACAGTAAGAAAAAATAAATAAATAATAATAGGATAAGTAAATGATAGTAAATCCTTACCCACAGTGGCGTATCTAGAAGTCTTGAAATGGGGGTGCTGATGGGGGGGGGGCGCGCGAAGGTGAAGTGGGCACCCCCCCCCAAATCATAATGTCATAAAGTAAAAAAACGCGAAATAATAAACCAATTATAAACATGAAAGTGTACAATGATTAAATATGGTAAAAATGAGGCTAAATTGTCGTAGAAGTAGAAAACGCGACAACAACAAACAATAATAATAATAATAGTGATATCACATACAAATTCAATAATAAAAAGATTGGGGAAACACATAAAAGCAGTAAACATTTAAATAAATAAAAACTTTCAAATACAGACAAAATGAGGTGATTTATGTCATAAAAAACGCAAAATAATAATAGTAATAATAATAATAGTTAATATTATTATTATAATAAAAATAACACTTTAAAATATAGACAAATGAAGCATCTAAATAATTTGGCAGATATCGGATGTGTAAAAAAAAAAACCGCGATTAAACATTAAAACATTCAAAGCGAGAAAAAAAGCCCATATTCGATTTGCCTATCGTGACAATTTCGCTTGCATTGTCAAAAACTGTTTTGGTACTTGTCATTGCCATTTTGGTCTGTTGCCGTTTTGGTACTTATTGCCGTTTTGGTCATTGCTGTTTTGGTCATTGCCGTTTTGGTTTATTGCCATTTTGACCTGCTACCATGTTTTCAATTTGAATTTAACGTAAACATTTTGCCTGTAGAAAGTACATCGGTTTCTTCAGTTCTGTTCTATTATGTTACTGTTTCCTTGCTTAGCATTAGGATTTGTTTGATGTTTTTGAAACAAAGTTCTGAGATGTTATATGGTGCTATAACAAGCATAAATTAATATGTTTTGAATCTATACCATGTTGGAAGTCCAAGAAAGTCTTGCTTATTTAACTAGAAATAAATATATCTTGGCTAAAAAAATTACATGTACATATATAGAATATAAAAGTATATCAGTATGTGTAATATTTCATAGCATTTTTTCTGTTATATATGTGGTATATAATATGTGTTTTGGTTTTTTTTATCTTTATTTCAGGCATACATGAAGGATGGGAAAGAAACATAATATCTGGTAAGAAATCATTTTGTTCTTGTATTCTATAGACGTGTATACCTTGGATCGGATAGGTGTCAGATATGCCATTGATAAAACCATGAAAGTCAGAAGGCTTGTTTCCAATGGGTTCCTTCTGGTGGTGAATTTTGCAGTACACCAAGATATATTCGCCTACTTTTTTCTGAACCAATGGCTTAAAAGTGCCATCCAAAGAAGTGGTTCGCTAAAACTTGCCAATCAACCCGCATTATGAAACACAAGAGCAGCAGATAGAATTAAATGAGGTTAAGTTTCTTGATGGTGCAGCCACACAGTAGCTACTAATACTATAAGTTTAGTTAAGTGGGCTATGCTGGCATATTTTATTATTTTGACAAGATAATACACAAATACTTCATGTACATCATGATTTATAAAAGGAAGCAATATTTCCTCATGGCGCCTGACTGTGTTCCCAAATATGAACGTGATGATGACAATCAAGTGAATTTCCAAGAATTTTATATTAAGATATTCAATAAAAAATGTTGTCTCTTAAAATAACAGAATAAACAAGCACCAACATATAGATTGTTATCAATTTATTTTCTATCTACAGTAATATCAACAAAGATAGCGACTTATAGAATTGAAACAAAAACAATACAATATTTTTTATAAATATGATGTAGTCAAATTTACATAAAATTAAACTTCTGCAAAAAAAGTGAAACTGTAAAAGATAAAATCGATGATATGCTAAAAAAAAAACTCAATTTTAGTTTGTTAGTTTTATTAGCAACTTATAGAATTGAAACAAAAAAAAAAAATAGAAAAACATCATCACAGCCAAGTACATGTTTGCACATGACCCCATGAAAAAAATTAACCAATTAGCTGGCAGAGTTTAGGAGGCGTGACCTGATGTTTGCAACAACCGAACGGCAAGTGGCATCGTGACTACGATACGAAGAATGTGTTGGGTTTAGGGAAAATATATCAGACTGAAAATGCACGTAAAAACAATATAAAAGCATTTGTTTGATTGGTAATTAGATTTGCTGTACAATACACTGTATGTATGTCTCTTGCTAGATAGGCACTTTATCATTTCTCTACATGTAAATATAGGAAGTTAAATTTGATGTCTTGTTGACTCCTGTTGATTGCACTGTATAGCAATTGAACGTTTATCTGCAGTGTTTCTTTAATCTACCCGCCCCCCCCCCTCCTCCCTGTGCCATCCCGCAAAATAATCACTCGCCTAAAAATTATGGTGAGTGTTTTCTTGCTCGCCTGCAATTTTTAAATGACAAGGCCTGCTGTAACCAAAGTTTACGATGTCAAACAAGATCTGATGCACCATTGTATGCACACCTACTTAGGCGAGACTTTTTTTATTCCTTGTTTCGCATACTTATTCTTATTACTGTATAAGATCGGAGGAGGGCAAAAATTTGTTTTCTTATTTAACAAATAGTTTTGCTAAAATCATTCCAGACGGAGGAGAAAAATAAAAATAAAATTTTATTGGTAAATGTAAAATAGGATGGTTAAATGCTTCAAATTTATATAATTAGGAAGAAAAATACATATTTTATCTTTGGCGATTTCAAGGCAGCGGAAATTGGAATAAAAATAAAGAAAAACCTTTTTTTCTGAATTTTTCGTGGCGGCGGGTGTGCTAATTGTGCAAAAATAAAATTTTATTTTTATTTGAAATCATCAGTATTTGCAGTCCGCAGGTTTTGTTAAACAAGGTATAAAAAAAGTATTGCCTTACTTATGGCTGTGTCCCTCATACCAAAATTTCCTACATCAGAAAAAAAATCTTGTAATGTATTCAGGTATGTTTGTGCTTCAGATAAGATTCAATTTTAAGTACTATGCATACAATTTTTTGTTCTATTTATGTAATATCTATTTTATTAGTGCCAGTGTAAAAGAGATGATTACTATTTCCTGCAGAAAATAGGGTACATTTATATTTTGTATCAAGTAATAGACCAGCAACTATCGGCTATAGTCATTTTTGTGGTTTCCGCTTCCAAGAATACTTACCTCATTGGTATTACATTCATTAGAACTTTAAATTGATGCCTTCCTCTATGGTCTTTGTCTTAGAAGTCATTCTTCATTGTATAAATCACATAAGATAGTAAATTATAACTTACTGTAAGCTTATTGTCCAATGCAAATACTGGTGTTAGTGTCTTAGTATTTTGTATGTTAAGAGACCAAGCAGCTAAGCTCGGTTGGCTAAACTGGTGGTAGTTACTGCGTGTGCGCTGAACCGTGGAGATCTCTAGTTCCCCGGTTCTATTCCCATCGCTGCTCTCCTTATGATAGCGCACTGTCTTTTGGATGAGACGTTTAAGCCGTTGGTCCCTTGTGCATTATGGTCCTTGTGCACAATAAAGAACGCAGTACACTATTCGGAAAAGGTTAGGGGATTGTCTCCCAGTGTACTGCCCAATCACCACCAGAAGGAATGGAAATAAGTCTTCTTCAGACTTTCGTATGTTATCCTTGGTGTGTTTACACTGAATAAATCCATCCATCCATCCAATATACAGTTGCACTGCCAGCAGGTGTCTGAGGAAATTTTACCCCTGATGAAACATGCATCAACCCCAAATTTCTGGAGCCATCACTGTTTTTCTGTATAACCTGTTGTCAGATAAGATGCAATTATAACTCAAGCCCATAACCAAAGAGATGCAATTATAACTTAAGCTCATAACCAGTCGGTTTCTGGTTCAGTTGAACCCCTTTTTGAAGCAAGTCCCCTCTGATAAACCCATCTACCACTATCCTTTGCACCAAAATTCATCAAAATATTGATGAAGTTCACTATTTACATACTAGAATTCTACACTCCTGATCCCCAATAGTGCCCTTCTTCTGAATCATCCCAGGCACCTAGGTACCAGTTTACCTCTGGCCTTCTGATAGGGAATCCCACTTCTCAAAGAATCCTAGTTGCAGGCCTAATATATATTTATTGAAATAGGCAATGCCGTGTTCAAACGCAAATTGCAAATTCTCTCATAAACTTTCATTTCCGTTTCATGAATATGATGTGTGAGATAATTGGTGAATGTGCCCCGTTAATTATGTATACTAAACCTCGTATAATAAACTAACACAAAGATTTGGAATAAGATTTCCCATTTTGTAAGACCACCCACAGAAACTACATATGTCGGTGAGTCACTTCAGTGTTGTTTGTGGACATGCGGTTAGTATTAAAGAAGAAAATGTCTGGAATTTGTATACATTTTCCCCAGACTTATAAAAAGTGATACTGAAGTCTAAACATAAACAATGCATAATATATTAACAAAGGATTCATTGCCCCATGACATTTTTAAAATTTTTTTACATATTTATTTTGTATAAAAAATGATTTATATAATCTTTTAGTGTATACTTACCCCATTCTCCCTACTCCCTTGGAATTCTATTGTTCATAGAATATGTAAATTTTGAGTATGGAAACTCGAAAGAATGACAACTGTGAGAGGCCCTGTGAGACCATTGGCCTAACTCTCATAAATGTGTCCAGTGACCAAACTTTTTTAACTGTTTCCCCTCACTCTGGAATGCCTTCCCCATATTTAAATAATTCTGCACACTTCACTTTAAACTACTGTACTGTACATTTTTTCTGCTAAAATCATAAACCATGTTTCCATTTCTTTCAAATATTAAAAATCGTTTAAGCACCTTGCATCCTTAGTTCTCACTAGTATTGTATTGTAACTTTATCATGAAAGTTCAACATCATTTACATACTGTAGCCCAACCATAGGTTCAATGTTCTAGACTTTGTATTGGTATTCATATTTCATGATTTAGTGTCAAGAGTTTTTTAGTTAGATTGTTAATCATGCTAAAAAGTAGTTGCAAATTAATATAATTTTAGAAAAAATGCTAAGAATACCAAAGGAATTATAATATTGTAAGAAAATTTATGTATGGTAGTACGATAGATATGAAGAGCGCCACTAAGAATGCATGATCAACTAAAACATAGGCCGTTTTTTTTGTTTGAAAGTCGTGATTTATAAGCTTTTCTGGCCCAAACCCAGAAGTATCTGATAGACATGAATTCTCCAGTTTGTGTAGATTTACCTCAGGGTAATAAAACACTGGGGTTTTAAAGATAAAAATGACATAAGTAATTGAGATAAATCAAGATATATTCGACCGTGATGAATGATCTGCTCCGGCATGTCATTAAGTGAAATATTGTTGACTTTGAATTCATCAAAATAAAAACTGATTTTATCCCCGATTAGGAGAGTATCAATTTAAGCTAGTTTTCGTTTATAAAAGGCTTATTTTCAATTGCTTCAAATGTCAGCTATATTTTAGAAAACAATGCAATCCAGTGCTGCAATTGATTAATCACAGCTTCAAAGAGAATAGTTTTGCACCAACCCTCAAATTGAAACATTTATTTGTGGCATAAATGCTTTCTTTGATTCCTAGGTTATTGGAATTGAAGATGAAAGTAAACCTTAAGGAGGTTGTTGTAGACTTATTGTATTTCTGTGAGTGTGTTTAATAGTGGAGACTCTCTCAGACTTGTTTGTTTTTTTGTATGAACAAATTCACCTTATGGTTGCCCACTGTAGCATTAGTATCAAGAAGAAGGTATAAGCTTGCTACATTGTGGCACACCACAGGCCATTCTTGGTGGTTTTGGAATAATAAAGGTTAAAGTTTAAAGGTTATTCATTTATATTGTGCAGGTTTTGGAGATACAAAGCTGCAGATGATAGGATTGATTATGATATTACGCCCAGCATAATTACTTTTTGAATGATGATTCTGTGATAAACTTGATCAAACTCTTTTTTTGTAAAATCGATTGTGACTTTGAATTCATCAAAATAAAAACTGATTTTATCCCCGATTAGGAGAGTATCAATTTAAGCTAGTTTTCGTTTATAAAAGGCTTATTTTCAATTGCTTCAAATGTCAGCTATATTTTAGAAAACAATGCAATCCAGTGCTGCAATTGATTAATCACAGCTTCAAAGAGAATAGTTTTGCACCAACCCTCAAATTGAAACATTTATTTGTGGCATAAATGCTTTCTTTGATTCCTAGGTTATTGGAATTGAAGATGAAAGTAAACCTTAAGGAGGTTGTTGTAGACTTATTGTATTTCTGTGAGTGTGTTTAATAGTGGAGACTCTCTCAGACTTGTTTGTTTTTTTGTATGAACAAATTCCACCTTATGGTTGCCCACTGTAGCATTAGTATCAAGAAGAAGGTATAAGCTTGCTACATTGTGGCACACCACAGGCCATTCCTGGTGGTTTTGGAATTATAAAGGTTAAAGTTTAAAGGTTATTCATTTATATTGTGCAGGTTTTGGAGATACAAAGCTGCAGATGATAGGATTGATTATGATATTACGCCCAGCATAATTACTTTTTGAATGATGATTCTGTGATAAACTTGATCAAACTCTTTTTTTGTAAAATCGATTGTGCACAGTTCAACTAACTGATTAGTTATCAAGACAACAACACCTTTGTGGATTTGATTAACATTTTCACAAGATACTACAGTAGCATTTGAGCACACTGTAGATATTCCAGTATTTTGATAAAGTGCCTCAATGATCCACATAGGAAGTTTCATAATGAGGGCATTTTGATAAATTGATTGTAACTGGTCAGTGTAAGCAGGCATGGATCCAGTAAGGGGGGTGGGGGTGGGGGTGGGAGTTGCACGGGGGAATGTGCCCTGTCGTTTTGCCACTAAATTCTAAAATTTCAATGCATATCAATTTCATGTATTGAACTTAGTGCTACTCGCTTGTCTTAATCTGAAAATTTTGTATAAAATAACATTTGATAGTCTGCTCTAGGCTTTGGATTGCTACAGTAGTAGCATACCTATGTAGCCTTCGCAATAGGTCAGATGATTGGTCTATGAACATGCTTACTTAAATATCGTAGTATTCACAGTTAAACTTTTAACAGGCCTAAATTAGCCAACAATATTCTGAAAGTGTAACATCATTTGAGTCTAAAGTATGCATAAAGTGAGCCCTCTGTAATTTCTTTCTGTAACAAAGGAAAAATGTTAAGCAGAGAGATTTGGGAAGGGGGCTTATTCCTCAATATAGGCATCTACTGTACCTGAGTTTGTACATAAATACAATTCACTGTATATTAAGGATGAGAGAAAATGCTTGGAAGTTATATAACCCAAAATTTAACTCTCAGAACACCTCAATTTGATTGATAGATTGTGCAACATGATTGTTTAAATATTCGTTTGTTGATGTTTATTTTAAAATTGGGAACCTGCATCGTTGATTAGACACAATTGCATTAATTAACATGACAACAATCATCTGGTAACAGTAGTCAACAAAATCCAGCCATACAGATCCTACAATAATTTGTTTAATCAGAAACAGGTGTGAATTGGGAATTGAATTACCTATGATAAAAGGATATTTTTTTTTTCTACGTACTAATCCTCGAGTAGAGCCAGGTTTTTGCTATCTCATGCTTACATTTAGAGATGATTTGACATCTTAGGACACACGTTTTTGTTTCATCCATTTTCTTGTAAATTTTGATCTTATACTCTTGGTCCCTGTTTCCTGTTTGATTCATTTCCACAGTGGATGTTGCATCATTGCTTCTTGTTGGCTTGTCACCCTGCCAAAGTGTACTTTATCGTACTCGAGGCTTTTTCAATTTCTTGCTTATAAATGGCGCATTAATTACACTGATTGACCGTATTCGTCACAAATCATTTTCCATGCAGTACTCATAAAGTAAACTGATTTCCTATCACTGATGTCATTATTATATTATTATGTATCATGTCTATTAATAATATATTATTAGTCTTACAAATATGAACTATGATATCATTATTATTATCCAATTCAACGACGACATTTTGGGACACATTGTCATCACGCACAACACTACTGCAGTGAAAACAAGCAGATGGGCTGAAATCAGCAATGCTTGTCAATTTGCATTCCTGAGAAGAGCATTTCTTAAATTAAAAGTTTACTCATTTTGAATCATGATTAATTATAGAATGTACTGTACACGTTTAATAATTAATATAATAAAAAGTAAAATAATATATTAAGTAATTTACATTTTTTTTTTATAAATCAAAATATAAACTTTCTTTGTTTTTTCGAAATTTGAAGCATAATTCAAATAGGAAATGATTTTCTTGTTCATAGAAGTACAGCCACACTGTAAAGCTAATGGATATGTTAATTGAATATTCAGATTTTAGATTTCTTTATTTCGTCCAAAAGGAAATTACAGAAGGTGCAAAAATACATAACAGAAAAAAATTTTAAAAAACATTAAAATACATAAATTAAACAGTATACTAAATGGTTTTTTTTATAAGTACTAATACCTATTTAAAAAAAAATTATTAGATTTAGTGAACAGTGAATTGCTTTTGGGAGAAATATCCAATAGATTCTAGATTCGTGCTGTGACAAGACATCTTTAAGAGCAAATCTGACAAACCCTTTTCTGTATCCCGGTCTTCAGATTATTGAGTAATAAACTTCCTTATCTTGTGCAGGGGAGCCTCAGGTTTATCCTGTGGTAGAAATGGTGGCTTCCCTTCTTACTACTATTTTTTAAATATCTGCATATGGCTGAAAACGTACCTTGTATTGCCCATGCCCAACCGGCCCAAAAGTTTTAAAATCTAGACCATTTTTTTTCCCAAAGAGGAGCCAAAAATACACGTATGATTAATTCTTTAAGAACCTTTACTGTTTGTTATTTCCTAAGCTTGTAACTTGCTCTTGTCATTGTTGTGTGTTGTCATTTTGAAAATGTTCATTTTTTGTTGAGTGCATCAACCCATCAAACAAGGTTATGCTATAACAATTATAGATTTATTTATTATCTTGATAGTAAAATCAACAAGAGTGGTAAGTAATTGATTACATAAAGATAATTAAAGCATTTGCAGCTCAGATCTGGAATGTATGAGCCTTGACAGAGATAAAAGTCATCTTTGCAAAAAGTCAGATTTCATGGCTATTCAAAAGTGATTCACAAATTTGAATTAATGAGTCCACTTCTATCAGGATGTTTTAATTAATCGCCAAAATAAGATGTTAACTTTCCATTTGGGTTTTTTCCTATTAGTCTTATTATAAAATAGAGCCATATTATGACATTATTAATTAGATTTTATGTTTTAATAATCTTTATTGGAACCCATTTTGTTGGGAGTGCCGGTTAGAGCGCATCTGTCTGTATTGGTTTCAAGTTGCAGTATATGTATGATATTATAATCATATTAAAGAATTCAACATTTACAGCATTTGGTCTTAAGCCAAATTTTAATCCAGTCCTTTGTGATTCGTGATGGGGCACTATGCTAGAATTGGCCAAGTTTCAACTTATTCGGAATATGTGGTATAATCATATTTAAGCATTGTTCCATTTCATTCCACATTCCCTAGCGATTCCTGGCAAGGCAGTCTTCCTGTTTTTAAGTATAGTTTGGGTTTCATGTTATTTTGAAATATGTGGTGTAATCATTTTTAATTAATTTTTAAATTCCTTATCCATTTAAGAAAAACAAAACTCGACCTAACCTACAGTAATGCAAAATTTAAATGCTGTTCTTTACTCCACTTTCAAGTTAAAATGTTTGAAATAAAAAAAAAAGTTTTCAGGTACATTACACCAGATACAGTATCACCAAACATCAATAAATTGATTAAACATGATGGATACATTTTCTGTCATGAACTAACATTTATACATGGGATGAAACACCCTTATAACAATTTTGGAAAATCACAAAACCATCTTCATTGAAATCGTTTATGGTATTGAATTACCTGATCTGTTGCACTGTCTTCATTAATTTTTGTAGACATACGTTACAGTATTTTTCTCACCTTCAAGTCATTCTATATGTGTAGTCTTTTGTATGAACAATCAAATATCTTATTTCTTTCAGTATGGTATCCGATTTCTTTTACCCAAATACTGGCGGGGTGGAAAGTCATATCTATCAGCTCTCCCAATGCCTGATAGAGCGAGGACATAAAGTAGGTTCATTTAGTAAGTGTATACTCATTTTCCAGACATACCAAAAGCCAAGCCTTATTCCATAATATTAGGCAAGTTTTGCAATTAAATATTTTCATTTAATTGCAAAACATATTGTAACAGTTCTCTATGTGACATGTTTTCATGAAACCTAAAGTCACAAGTTGACATTAATTACAAGGAAAAATTAAATTCTATATATCAATTTTTTTTCATTCAATTTCTATCCATCTTTCATGACAAAATGTTAACAACAATTAGAAACTACAAATTTCATTTTTATAACATTTGTATCAAGTTTAGATAGTTGTTACTAGTGAATTTTTGATGGTACACTACTGTATGCATGCAGTCATTTTTATAAAGTCTTTGTAAAGCACTATGCCCCATTATTATTATATTGTATGTTTAAATATAGGCCTGTTGTTTAAAGTTGGCAGTTGGTAAGGTATGCCGCCAACTCAGGGTTGTCAACTTCAGGTAGTGGAGAGGGGGGTCCTGTCATAGCACACTCGCTCACCACATGTTCATGGGTTTGTTCATGTCCACAAGAACAAACGTCACTGTTTGTGATGCCCATGTTATTACCCTGGTGGTCATTTGATCAAACACAAACACATGAGCTCTCTTGGGAGAATTTCATAATTTTACAGCTACAGAAGTATTCAGTGCACCGGCATTTGAACCTACCAGCTACTCACTTATATTTCTGGGTGAGAGACAAACTATAGAAACCATTTAGATTATGAATTGTTTGAATAATTTTTAAAATCTAACTGTCCAAGAACATAAGGAAAAAGCACAGCAAGAGGATGAAACGTCAAACTTGGTTGAAGGTTGAATCGGAACCACCATGCTAACCGTTTACAATTACCAGTATATATGTTTGTCTTTTCAGCTGTGCTAAATGTAATATCAATTATTCTACATGGGCTAGGAATGATGGTGACTGAGTGGTTCTCACACTTGTCTGTCATGCTGATGACCCGGGTTCAGCTCCCGACGAGGGAAGCCCTTACCTGTAGCTCGCTCGGCTGTAAAAGGGTACCTGGTTGAAATGTACTGGGCTACTAACTGCTCATTCCCCTACATTCAATAATGAATAATTATGGGTCCACCTTTACCTTAAACAACCTAATAATTTACATTCCATTGTTTAGCTCAATAAAGTTTTTTTTTTTAAACTATTTGAATTTGGTTCTTAATTTCATTTATTATTAATTTTATTTATTGTTCAACAACTTTGACCAGGTATGTAGCGACAGGATTAGAAATTAATTGTTTTACAATTATCCACTTTGCCCTGTTTCTCCCTACCCCTGGGTATGACATATGAATAACCTTTTAAAAATGGTGGTTCATCAAAATTGCATTTAACTCCAACAATATTTATAATAATTTAGTATTTTTCTTTCCATAATTAAAAGTTGTTTATCTTCCGAATAATTAACAACTTAAAGCATTTAATAGAAATAGTTTATTTTCGGCTGTATTATTTAATGTTATAAAAATGTGTTGCTATGTTAGGCTGACACAAGTCTTTCACTTTTGAACTCAACCATGAGGAAAAATCAATTTTGAAATAAACAAAGGTCACAAATACATTTTCGATTACCAGACTTTAAACATTGCTTTAAACTCTGTGATGTGGTCGGCATAAACAAAATATGAAATTCTCTCAGCTGCAGTTTCTTCCTCCTGAAAGTATTATTTCATTTCAAGGACCATCCTAATTCAATTAGGATGTAAGTACAAATGTCAATTCTTGAATATTGTTATTAGAAGTGACCATCAAATAATGGAAGTTCATAACAAGATAATTAATTTTTCCCTATTTACAGGTCATAGTGTTAACCCACGCGTACAGTCAGCGAAATGGCATTCGGTATCTCACCAATGGACTAAAGGTACTACCCTATATCCAACAAGTTATCAAACAAAAATAATTGAAACAATAATAATACTATAAATATGTTGGTTTTGTTCTCTAGAATTCTGTTTCGATTAAAAATTTTTGTTTTCTAAAGATAATAATATATTATGATAATAAAAAAAAATGATAAAAACTAAAACGATAAATATATAAATAAATAATAATGATGTTCAATAATATTGTTAATAATGATACAGTTATATATTAAATGCTTGAGGTACTTGAGGTATATATTCTGAAAAGAACTGTTGTTTTGTTGAGAAAACATTCTCAACAAAACAACAGTTCTTTTCAGAACTGTCTACGTGTTGTACCGCAAGCATTTAATATATATTATTACTTCGCCATGCAAACCTTCAAACAATGATATAGTCATAAACAATGAGAAAAAAATATAAAGTGAAGTATTTGAATTACCATATTTCAACTAGTACAGTCACTCTTTTTGAAATGTGAATTAATCCATCAAGTTTATTAGGCTTTATTTTTTTGTTAAATTTTCATTGATTACAAGCATATTTTTCTTCTGACTTTTCAATCTGTTAACTTTCTTCCCATTGGTGCATTGCATTTTATCAGGTATACTACCTTCCTATTGGTCCATTCTACAATCAGTGTATCCTGCCCACCTTGTTCACCACTCTACCAATCATCAGGAACATCTTCATACGTGAACAAGTGACTATCGTGCATGGCCACTCTGTAAGAACAAATATATTTTTGTACAAGTAAGGAATTACAACAGGCCAGTTGAAATGAAAATTTAGTTCCAACCCTCTGGCGTCTTCTCTTTTGTTGCCTCTTTGTTTTATTTTGTAGTTATGTTCTTATTGTTTTTTCAGCAATGCAATCTTTACTCACTGAGATATAATAATGATAGTGATGTTTCTCATATTCCTCCAGTATAGCATGTCTAGTTCAAATTGTGTTATCAATAACTTTAACTCAAAAAGCTGATGTTGTAAAAGAAAGTGCAGTTCTTTTAAAAAGCATTATTGTTTTTGGTTTTCTGTACCTTTGTTTACTATTGAACTTTTAGAATTTACCAAAAAATCTAGTCTTTGGTGATGATTCTTTAATATATTTAATATATTCAAGAACTAAATATTTTCTCATATTATAAGATTTGCATGTAATGACTTTGACTGGGAAGCAATCATATTTATATTACAGTACAAATGTTAATAGAGTTCTTAGTTGCATCCACTTGAACACCCTATAATGCTAGTATATTTGTAGATGGAAGTCTTCGTGTTAAACCGAGTTGTACGGATAACCGAGAAGGCATGGCTTAAGCGATGATATCTCAACACGTGTTATAAGATTGATGTGATGTGGTTAGCATAGCATATTCCTGTCCTAGCCTACCACTTATGCCTGTCATCCTATTCCTTATCACGGCCAACCACCCTACTAGCCGCAGTCCATCGCTTCCTATCCAGGTCTCAGTGATCAGGTACAAGCTGTCATCCCAGGTCATCTGAATGTATCTAAACTCTGATAACAACATTTATGTTTTCTGTCCCAGAAGTTAAAAAAGAAAGATAACAAGTCATCATAAATAATTAGTTTGCGTTTGTTTGTGTGGCTGAAGTAATTGGATATGACACTAAGTTGGGAAATGGGATGTTGTTTCATAAGGATTTGTAAAATCTAGTAGACATTCTAGGCCGTATTACCCTGTATAATCTTTTAATTCATAAGAAGGTAGTTTAGCAACTCAGAAGTGTGAACTTAAAGTTTATATATTAGTAGGCTCAAACTTTTTGACCTCTGCATCAAAATTGAAAATGCTCAGCATCTCAATCTCGCAGATGTAGGTTTCAAAATATTTTGCATTAATAATATTAAATAAATAATAAACTTGTTTTCATGTATGTTATGATTTTTAATGTTAAAACACTCTTAGTTGCAACCTTTTGAACAACCTGTTATTATTTTTTGGTCATTGAAAACAGTGTAGTTCACAGTGTACCAACCCCCTGTTCCCTCGTGTGTACAGTATTCCTAGGCCAGCTCTATTTCTGGCCTGGATCTTTTTATTGCAGTAGGCTAATGTAATGATACACCAACAAGAACTTCATGGCATGGACATTTCCATCTACTATACAACAGCATGTCGATATGCTGATTGGTGTTGCTAAACTAACAAATTGATGCTTTGTACCATGCCTTAAAATAGAGGCACTTGTCCGTAGCCTCTCTGTCTTAATATGCAAATGAACTGAAATAATGTTAACCTAAATACCATCCATACTCTACAAGGGTGCTGATTGGCTTGAACTTCGTTATGTTTTTTTTTTTGTATTACCAGAGCTAATATAAAATTTTCAATTGACTAATCTGGGTTTTTTTCTCTTCCTTTTTTTCTTGTAGGCCTTTTCAGCTCTTGCTCATGAGACGATGATACATGCGAAGACCATGGGCCTGAAATCCATGTTCACTGACCATTCCTTGTTCGGCTTTGCTGATGCCAGTTCCATCATTACTAATCATATTCTACAAATCTCATTGGCAGATGCACATCATGTGATATGTGTGTCACACACTAGGTAAGTTCCAATTTATTATTTTTGTTGTTCCTGTTACAGTTGCAATTATTGTCCTTATTTTAATTAGTGTTATTATAATTCATTATTAAGTTGCTAAATCATTTCTGAATTGACGATTGTTGAAATGTCTATATAATTATTAATATTATTTTATATGAATTGTCTTTAAATAAATGAAATAATGTGATGCTTCTATCAGCGAAGTCTCTTTATGAGGCATAGGGAGTAGTGTCACAGGAATTGAACCCAGGACTCTGGACTTAGAAGGCAAGCATCTTAACCACTCAGCTATTCAACTCCACTCTACTTATGTGTCCTGCCCAAAACAGAACAGAATAAACAGAGAGTCACGTCATGACAGTAAACATTTATGATGATGATAATTTAAGCTTAGAGACACACTTTGTTATATTATTTCATGTTAACTTTATTAATGTTTTTCATGCTCTTGTTTTTCCAAAAGTCGTGAAAACACAGTTTTGCGTGCGTCTCTCAATCCCAACAATGTCTCTGTGATTCCAAATGCAGTTGACTCATCGATGTTCACACCGGATCCATCCAAAAGAAACCTAGACAAAAGTAAAGTTATTAAATCTTTATTTTACATATTTATTTAGTTTGTAGATATTCAAATAAAATCAAATAATGAAGAAAATGTTGTATCTAAATGCACTATGAAATAGCGTGGTTTTTAGATTTTCTTTTTGATGATACAATACCACCTAAGAAATGTGAATTAAATTTTATTGTTTAAATTTAATCATAAAAGTGTGACCAACACATATCTTTACTAGTATAGTATATACTACATAATTAATGTGGAGAGGTAAAACGCTCCCCTAAAACAGCTTGGAATGCAGCTAGCTTAGTTGACTAAACTGGTGTTAGCCACTGTGTGTGTGTTGAACTGTGGAGATGTTTAGGTCCCTGGTTCAATTCCCATCGCTGCTTTCCTAGTGTTTCAGCTGGAGGACTGAAATGCAAGTTTCAAAAGCATATCTTTCTGATAAGACGTTTAAGCTGTATACAAAAATGACCCAGTGCATGATAAAGAATGATGTACACTCTTTGGAAAAAAAAGTAGGGGATTGTCTCCCGGTGTACTGCCATATTCACCACCAGAGGGACCACACTGGTAATAAGTCTCCGGACTTTTGTGGGTTATCTTTGGTGTGTATGACATTGAAATCCAATGCGTCACCAGACCTACCCACTTTAAATTTGCTGAGCAAAAAACTTTGGACTTTGCACCTTGTCAGCTCTTCCATATATCATATCTACTAACTACTTTTGATTCACAATGCAATCTGTAAGTGAAATTAATTAATTAATTTGATACAAATATAAAGATGACAAAGGAAAATATAGCTTTATGAATAAGACTTTGAGATGTACAGTTAAATTTTGCTGATTTACCATGCTTTTTTTTCTGAAAATTCTTAAATTGATTACCAGCCAATTTAAGAAGCAATGTGAAGAATAGGAATGATATTATTTATGCTTGATGATAGATTGTTTATAATTTACATTCCCCCTTGCTTTAATACACCATAATTCAATTATGGGAACTCTTCAAAATAGTTATGCTTTTCAATTTTAATTCCGTGACAAACCGGTTTCTTTACATTAAGCAAACTAACTTAGTGATTCAGTTTATAATATTACTTACTTTGATTCCAACATTTTTGCGGAGAATATTGATTTAATTAACGATATTGTGGTTTTGATCCACGAGGCCAGATGTCTTATCATTTACATGAAACAGATATTATGGAAGTGTTTTCTACTGATTTCCCATATTTCCTTATAGATATAAAATGCTTTCATGTTAAATTAATAAGAATATAGCTAGGAGTATGCTAGGGAACTTTCGATTGAGAAGGTAGAATGGGAACGTAGCATGGATTCACTAATCCGTGACTTATTGCGTGCGTTCTATGTTTACATAAATTAATTTCAATTTTTACGAAGCGTACAGTACACGGATATGTCACCAACGCTAAGACTGATGTACCAATGTTTAATACAGTGCAACAATCCTCATTCTGGTCTGCAGATAGATTCGGCCGTCAACCGAATTCAGGAGAGAATGTAACACACAATGTTCAGACATGCGTAGTTAAATAATGTAACGTCATTCCATTCAGAAAAAAGTAAATGTATGAATATCTTTTTTACTAAAATTGTACCTGATTTCCAAATCTTAACTATAAATAATAATAACGTAAGTGAAGTAAAGCAAATAAAATTATTAGGAGTTACTTTGAGTAATAATCTAAAGTGGGATGCCCACATAAATGAAGTGTTGTGTAAGTCAGGCAGGCATTTATACATGTTAACGTGCTTAAAAAATGTTTGGTATGCTTGTCAACCAACTTTGACAAATTTATGTATCGTTTTGTCTATCACAGAATATGCTAGCCCAATGTGGCACACATCCTTGGCTACAAACCTAACAAATGAGTTAGAGATGATACAAAAAAGAGCTTTAAAAATAATTTTGGCCAAGATCATGTTTCATATCCTATTGTATTACAAGCTTTAAACTTAACACAATTAGACGAGAGGAGAGATGAACTTTTAATGCAATTTGCTAAAACCCTAAATGATATTGTTCCAAACGCTAATTAGAAAACGGAGAGGTGAAATAAGTAAAAGAACCCCAAGAAATAGTGGGAAAATTGACAAATATTTTTGCCGTACAGAACGATTTAAAAAAATCCTCTTTCCCATCGATCTGTAAATTACTAAATAAATTACATTTTTACTTGAATTTTTTTTTTTAATAATGAAATTAAAATGTGTAAATAAAATCAATTATAACCAATTTAAATATTTATCTCGATGAAAAATTTCAAATTCGTAATTTTCGTAACGTTTGTATTTTGTACTTATAGCTTTTTAATATTTTTGATGTGGTAGTGTTTAATTTTTCTGCATGATGTTTTGTAATTTCTGTGTTTTTTTTAATTTTCTATCTAATGGTATATGATTTTAATTTTTAATGTCAAATTTTGTAAATATTTCTCAATTCAGATTTGTGCTGCCATGAAATGTATTTTTTATGTGAATAAACCAGAATAAATAAATAAATAAACATTACGTTCTATGTCATCGAAATTCAAAAGCTCCCTTCTATCAGATTTTATACTCAATACACAAAGTTTGATCAGACTTAAGTCCTGTTCAGACATATGCTCATATAATGGGTACACCATATTATCTGCTCAATCGAATTGTGTATCTTTTCTAATATGTTTGTCTGACAGTGTTCTACTTTATCAAACATTTGTTTGACTTAAGCTGTCTAGATTATCAAATGTTCTTTAACAAAAAGCTGTTGTATGCCCATATATAGTGATGATGTGCCTGTATGTAGTCATGATGTGCTGTCATCATTACTATATTTAAGCTTGTCTCATGTTTTTTGTCAAATAAAATTTGATTTTCTAGACAGGGCATAAGAGTCTGACAGAAAAAAAGAAAATCAGATAGTGTCTACTAGTTTAATAGTTGGTCCACAATTTCCGTGACAGCTATTTGTGATTTTTAAATTTCTGTCAGGAGCATTTTATTTTGGCAAATATTAATGCCAGCATATCCGACCTTGAGGAAATACTGCCTGGTATGATGTTAAGTTTAATGTACTTGTTCATATAATGCACAAACTGTATGACTTGCAATTTTTCCCAGGGGAATGCAAGAGGTGTTACATGTTGTACTCATTTGCCAATATAGATTCAGCTACGAGTGATAATAAGATAAACACTTGGATAATTTCTTATTACAGTATTTTTATATGTGTATAACATAATTTTCATTGTTGATCTTGTGTTTTTTATTTCTCCAAAGAACATTGAAATAATTTTAATATTAAATTATGCATCAAACAAACAATAATTATTATATTATTTTCTGTTTTTAGTTACAATCGTGGTGATCAGTCGTCTAGTGTATCGGAAAGGAATTGATCTCCTGGCGGACATAATCCCTATCATTTGCCAACGTCATTCAGATGTTGATTTCCTGATTGGTAAGTTATTGTGATCAATTCCATGATTTTTCAAGAATAAATTTTATATTTGTGCTTGTGAAGACTTCTTAAAGAGGAAAAGTGAACAAAAACATTTGAGATGCAGAATATTGTTACAACTTCCTGGTTTATATTGTAATAGGGATTGGAAGGCAAGCATCTTAATCATTAAGATCCAGCTTTACTCTTTATTGATATTTTGTAAGTTTTTTGCTTTGGTGTTTTTCAGGTGGTGGCGGCCCAAAGAGAGTGAACTTAGAAGAGGTTCGAGAAGAATGTCAGTTGCATGATAGAGTCACATTGCTGGGACCTGTTGACCATGATGATGTGAAGAGTGTAAGATCTTTTAACTTGTGCATGCCGCATTATTGCTTTACCTTCGCCAAAGGAGGTTATGTATTCACTGCTGTCTGTCAGTCTGCCTGTCTGTGTGAGCAAGATTACGCAAAAACTAATGAAAGGATCATCATAAAATTTAGTGGAATGGTACATAATAATCGAAGAAAGACTATTCATTTTTTGAAAGAAAGGGTCAAAGTACATGTGTCAAGGTCATGGAAATTCAATTTTGTACCCTCGAGCATCAAAGAAAATGAAATCGCCCTCATATTTAGGCTGCACTCAAGACAATAATGTGCTGATGGCCGATTCCATTATTTTCTCGAGGGTATACTGCAGTTTTGCCCATCATACACGACCTGGGTATTGTTGGTATTTGGCCACAGGGCGGAGGTCTGCACTCTATGGAATGACTGGTCTAGTTAATGATTTCTTTCTAATAAATTGTTACTGTAATAATATTTCCCTAATTGATTTATTTTTAATTTAAACCTTTTTTATACTTAATAATGTATAAGTATAAACATTAAAATTTCTTTAGATAAAATATTAAATTCAAGTAAGGTGGCTAAATTTGCTACATTTTAATTTTATTTTGATCCATATATTTACAGAGTATAGACAATAATTATCTTATTATTGCGATTATCTTGTCCTTGTTGATGTTATGATTTTTGTTCTTATTTTATTATAAAGGTTTTGACATTTTTAGTTGAAAATACTTTCAGATATTCATTCAAGCATACTTTTAAAGAAAATTTCTAAATCTGTTACCAATTTCTATCATTTGCATTAGTTTTAAATTTTTTTTCTAATTTGTGTTTATAGAATATGTTAATTTATAATTTTTTCAACAATGTTAATAATTCCTTTATTTTTGTATGATTGGTCCTGGCAACATTTTGTGCTACAAAGCCGCCTAAACATTATACTTGTTGCAAAGCCGCATCCAAGTATCTAATCCATGAAAATCCACAACTATCCCTATGAATCTTTATAGATAGGCATCTACTTTAGTCTGGTATTTCTAACTTCCAATTGAAATCCCAGTTGATTTGGTTGGCAAAGTTTGACTCCATGATAAAAATGATGTTGTATTTCGTTCATTCCTACATGGCACATTCAGTAAGAGGTCAATTAATGTTTACATACTTTATTTCCTTCGGGATTTACTGCCTGTTGTTTACCACATGCTGAGCAGAGTGGGTGGTACAACCAAGTGGAGCCAGTAGTCTTTGTAATATTAGTTGTCCAACGATTTCATTTTTTATCAAATGATTTTCTATGTACTTTACTGTATTTCCCATCTGTTTGTTGCCACCTAAGCATGTTATTGCCCTAGATGAACACAAATACAAATTCTGAAAACATGGAAATGCTTAATGTAGGCCTAACAAACACTGAAATAAACAAAATAAAATGTAACATCTTTTAGAAATGAATTTTCAAAAATGTAATAAAACAAATACTGTAATAATATTAAACATCATGATTATAACACAAAATATTCTCTATTACTCATACCTGTACATAATACAGTATATATACTGTCTCTTATACACATCTGTCGTCTAGTGTATCGGAAAGGAATTGATCTCCTGGCGGACATAATCCCTATCATTTGCCAGCGTCATTCAGATGTTGATTTCCTGATTGGTAAGTTATTGTGATCAATTCCATGATTTTTCAAGAATAAAATTTATATTTGTGTTTGTGAAGACTTCTTAAAGAGGAAAAGTGAACAAAAACATTTGAGATGCAGAAATATTGTTACAACTTCCTGGTTTATATTGTAATAGGGATTGGAAGGCAAGCATCTTAATCACTAAGATCCAGCTTTACTCTTTATTGATATTTTGTAAGTTTTTTGCTTTGGTGTTTTTCAGGTGGTGGCGGCCCAAAGAGAGTGAACTTAGAAGAGGTTCGAGAAGAATGTCAGTTGCATGATAGAGTCACATTGCTGGGACCAGTTGACCATGATGATGTGAAGAGTGTAAGATCTTTTAACTTGTGCATGCCGCATTATTGCTTTACCTTCGCCAAAGGAGGTTATGTATTCACTGCTGTCTGTCTGCCTGTGTGTTAGCAAGATTACGCAAAAACTAATGAAAGGATCATCATAAAATTTAGTGGAATGGTACATAATAATCGAAGAAAGACTATTCATTTTTTGAAAGAAAGGGTCAAAGTACATGTGTCAAGGTCATGGAAATTCAATTTTGTACCCTCGAGCATCAAAGAAAATGAAATCGCCCTCATATTTAGGCTGCACTCAAGACAATAATGTGCTGATGGCCGATTCCATTATTTTCTCGAGGGTATACTGCAGTTTTGCCCATCATACACGACCTGGGTATTGTTGGTATTTGGCCACAGGGCGGAGGTCTGCACTCTATGGAATGACTGGTCTAGTTAATGATTTCTTTCTAATAAATTGTTACTGTAATAATATTTCCCTAATTGATTTATTTTTAATTTAAACCTTTTTTATACTTCATAATGTATAAGTATAAACATTAAAATTTCTTTAGATAAAATATTAAATTCAAGTAAGGTGGCTAAATTTGCTACATTTTAATTTTATTTTGATCCATAT